TTTTTTTTTGTTTGTATTGTTGTACCTTTTTTTCATTTAACAACAGGGAGTCTCTTTTTATGTTTTAAAAAAAAGATGTTTCCCCCCTTTTAATTTTTTTGCCCTCAAAAAATTTTTCCCTTTAAGGTTTTTTTTTTTTTTTTTTTAAACTCCCCCCCCCCCCCCCCCCACCCCCTTTACAGATCTGCATTAAACATAAGGAACATTTGACTTTGGCTCTTTATCTTACTTAGCCTAATGTGTGAATCTGAATAAGGAATCACTTTGATCTAAAGTTTCCTTTAAACTTGAGCTAAAGGAACTTCTTCCACAAAGATCCGGGACACTGAGTTGGTTCCTGTGTACCCATCAGCGTTTCCATATGAGGCGCAATTGCCGATCCAGAATCCCACGCGCACCTTTCCTTTGTGGATGTTGTTACAGTGTCCCTCAATATGGCGGACGCGATGGAGATCTTTGCCACTGCCGTTAGCCATGTAGACAATTCCGTCAATAGGCAGGGGACCAGAACACTCAGCGCCATTGAAAGTGAAGTACCAACGTTTGCAGCAGCTATTGCAGCCGTGAATTCTCAATGCACCCGTCCAGTAAACATGAAGAGCAGTATCAGAAAAGTTTTTTGTAAAGACACAGTCCTGTCGAAAATGGAAATAAAAGAGATATAAAGTTAAGATTCCATAAGATCTAGTCTTCTTGGTAGTAAAAGTTAAACTGTGATTACTGTCATAGGTTTCGTGTTAACCAGTGACGGGTGTCCTTCTCTATTCACCCTCTGGCCTACAGTTATAAGAACTGGGCTATTTCATCCCCTGCCTTGGCCAAAATTTTTGTATACTTTTTTTTTCCCTCTGCTGCATCAAGTGCGACAAAGAGTTGTCCTTTCTCGGCGCCAATGTTTAACAATCGGGAAGTACTTTGGTCAACTTAGGTCAACTAGATTCGCATTAAATTCGTGTCATGAAAAGTCAGGCGTCTAAAACAGGTCTCGCAGCAAACTAAGTAAAAGACAAAATCGACTTTACTGAATGCGCCGAATGTGATTTTTGCACCACTCACCTTGATCAGACCATTGTCCTTTCCATCATTCACGTTTTTCCAGACGCATTCTTTCCAATTTTTAAACGGCATCGGACCAGGTTCCCCTTTCTGACCGGAGTGACCCTGGGCTCCAAGTTCTCCTTTAGCCCCTTCCTCCCCCTTTACACCAGCAGGTCCCTTATCACCAGGAGGTCCCTGAGGTCCCGTCTTCCCCTGCAATCCTTGATCACCTTTAGCTCCATCACGGCCATCACGTCCGTCACGTCCGTCGCGCCCAGGTGCCCCAGGAGTACCATGCTTGCCGTGCATGCCGGGAATGCCACAACCATCATAACAAAACGATGGAGATTGCTAGTTTCAAACAAGAAAGATTAAAACAAAAGATAGAAATAAATCAGATAGAAAGTTGCCGAGAAGAAAATCTACACCTCTTCCTGGTGACTCTGGCTCTCTTATTGCTCGAGCAGAACTAATTTTACCTTCGCAGTTACTGAATGCAAAATCAAGACAGTTCTTCAAAAAGGTTGTTTTCTACTTTTCAAAAGTTTGATATTTGGCTCCCCACCTCGAGCCGCCCGGTACACTTTCATTGAAGAGCATCGACGCGTACGAAGAGCTTTAGTTTAGTTAAGTGACAAAACTCATTCAAAGAGTTGAAACTACGGCTCAAACATATGTGCGAAGAAGCACAAAACAAAACCGGAAAACCTGCTAAGCCATTCTTTTGCTGTGACTGTAGCCCTTTTTTCCATCTTTAGACTTTAATTTGCTTAGCGTGGCTTTTTCTTAAATTAGTCGCACCCTCTCTTCCCTCCCCTCCCCTATCACGTCATCATTGTCAAATACCAAAGTAAATTGAAAATTATGTTTTCGTTACACATCATGTTTACCGTGGTTTGTGCTGTCGGTTTGCTGTCAGTAATTGCAGTAACAGCACGTATTATGGTCAACAACATCAAAAAACTGAACNTTTGCTTAGCGTGGCTTTTTCTTAAATTAGTCGCACCCTCTCTTCCCTCCCCTCCCCTATCACGTCATCATTGTCAAATACCAAAGTAAATTGAAAATTATGTTTTCGTTACACATCATGTTTACCGTGGTTTGTGCTGTCGGTTTGCTGTCAGTAATTGCAGTAACAGCACGTATTATGGTCAACAACATCAAAAAACTGAACGTGATGACTGCCTCGACCAGCTCACAGAACAGATCTTTCAATAGCTTGTCAGCTGCCAGTGCAATAGAATAGAGGATAACGCACTTTATCTTGTGGGTACTTTGAAGGCATATTTATGACTTCTACCCCACCCCAAGAAAAACCAAAACCTCGAAAGAGTAATATCAGTCTACAATATACCATTATTTATACTAAGTATATAAACGAGTTCATCGTGTTAACACCTCAGCTTTGTCATTCTAAAAGAGGTTTACTTAGCTTGAACATTCAATTCAATCGGCATGCTTTGTGAACGTCATTAATCAAAATTAAAGTTACAAAGTTGCTAGGTGTGATAGGGTTTTGCATGTGCGCAGGCCCAGACATTGTTTAAAAGAATTGAAATTAGATAGTTACAACTGAAATTGCTCCTTTTGCGAAAAAAAAAAACAGTCGGCGTGACGAGATTTCATATGATTGCGTTGAAGTGCAAGACGGTTCGTTGCCAAGTTTGCTACCTTTATCTTGATTACCAGGTAAAGTGCTTTAAGTTCTTAAATCTCTCCTACATACGACAGTAAATAATTATCTGCACCACAATACACGCATCACGGTAACTCCACACCGCTGAATCAGCTTCAGCGCTTTCCCTATACATTTTTGAACGAATGACTACCCGCTAAGCCGGCCGAGTTTCCAATGAACGGTGTTCAAAAAGGAGGCTATTAGCCACAAAAACACATCCTTGAATTACCTACTAATACTTTGATAGAGTAAACTTACAATTAATTGAAAATTGGTAGTCTCTTGCCTTTAGCAAACGCAACTACAACCGTTGAACTCAACTGAACTGCTTAGGTGAAACCCCGGGGGGGTGAAACCTGTTTCTACAGGCGAAGTGTAATTTGCTTTGTTCTTTAAGGGTGGGAATTAATTCAGCGTAGTATTATGATTGGTCACAAACCCACCATATAATTACCGGGACTGACAGAAATTTGCGAACTTTTTAACAGATGAAGTGTCAACTTAACAATGGACCCCAGTCGTCATTGTGATTTGAGGAAGACCAAGCGGAAGCTACGTGACTGTATGAGTGTCTGTAAACAGGCCATTTCCACGATAGCATCATCTACTGTTCATACAATCCTTGATCTACCTGTAGATATTTAAACAACTAGAATGTCAGAAGTCATTGTTTTTACCTCCTTACTTTAGATTTAAGAATTATCCCAGGATAGCTCCTTATATACAAGAGGAAACACTCGTGTGGGGGTGGGTATTGTAGTTGTATTGTAAATACTGAGCATTATCGTAAAGAAGACCAATAACTGTACTGGTTGTATAAACACAAGAATCAGCCAGTGAAAACAGAGGCCGGATGGAATTGACACTCGCGTGCAAAATAGCCCATCAACACTTAAACCTTTGCAAAGAAAAAACCCTTTTAAGCTAAGCTAGAAAAATACAAGAAGGTCTCTATTATTTGGGGTTCAATTACAACCCCTGCAATGGGATTTGTCCCATGTGAAAAGGGCGTGGTTGCTAGTCAAACAATTGGGACTGAACCCAAAAGGAGACCAACCTGGGCGGGGCTCAGGCTTTATTTGACCCCCTGAAGAGATACCATTGTAGCGACGACTTCACAGACCTTTATTACCCTGCGAGAGATGGCTACAAAATCTAATTCGTGCCAAAACAGTGACGATACAACGTAAATGCGTTAAGGTCGATCAATTTAGGTCGTTACTTCGACTAAATGCCCAAGCTGCAAATACTCGCCAAAAACGTAACAAGCAAGAACGAAATACCAGGTCACATGACCTTTAAAGGTAGGAAAAACGTAACAGGGAACCCAACCGCAACAACCATTCTAAAACAGAGAGGCGAATAAGAGTTATAGCAATTTTAATCCCGATACAGAAGTAGTTCTAGAATCACTCAACTTTGTTTAAATGACAGCTCTAACGAATGCCTGTGTGATAAAAATCTTTTTCTTCTGAACACCCCGAAACCCTAATCTGCAATTTACGCCCGAACGTGAACGCCCCTTTCTGACGGCTATCCCTTCCCCCTCCCTTGTTGTAGGGGCTGAAACTTTAGATCGTCTCATTTCACGGCCCCTTCCAAAACTGTTAAGGACGATCCCTAAATGGTTTTATAATGTCAAGGTTGATCAAATGTTGAAAGATCCTGCTTAAATCTCTTTAAATGAATACATAGGTGATACAGTTAATCCATCTCAAACGCTTTTTTTCTGTTATTATAAAAGTTATCAGTCCACAACTCAACAAATAAAGAGGCCAATATCATGGTGCCTTTCTTTTGCTTTATTCAACTTTTTCAAACCCTACAGAGCCCAATAGTAAATAAAAGAAACTCTTGACTTTGCTTCTAATCTACTTTATTTTGCGAAGGGCAAGAACTCTGAATAAGGATTCAGTTTTATTCACCCCTTATAGAGCCGCTTTTAAGCTTGCGCTTTAGGAACTTCCTCAACAAAGATCCGGGATACTGAATTCCATCCTGTGTACCCATCAGCGTTCCCATATCCGTTGCAATTTCCGATCCAGAATCCAACGCGCACTTGTCCTTTGTCAATGTTGTTACAATGTCCCTCAATATGGCGGACACGATGGAGGTCTTGACTAGCGCCTGTTTGCATGTAAGCCACTCCGTCAATGGGCAGAGGTCCAGGACACTCAGCGCCATCGAAAGTGAAGTACCAACGTTTGCAGCAGCCATTACAGGCGTGAATCCTCAACGCACCCGTCCAGTAAACATGTAGGGCAGTATCAGAAAGTTTTTTGGTAAAGACACATTCCTGTTAAACATGAACACAAAGGTATTGCTATAAAAAGGCTTCAATGCATGGGTATTTTTTCTCACAAGTTGTACGTAAAGCTTGGCTCATCTGAAAATTTTGGCGTCAAAAACGGACCTCAAAGCATCCACAGTTTTGTCATCAGCTATAGTGAATGTCTGAAATGTGTTTGAATATGAATATCGTCCTTTAGTTAAAGTTAAAAGCCCTTAATACACAAATCACCTGGACCAGACCATTGTCCTTTCCATCATTCAAGTTTCTCCAGACGCATTCTTTCCAGTTCTTAGAAGGCATCAGTTCAGATGCCCCTTTAGGTCCGGGAGGACCCCGGGGTCCACGATCTCCTTTAGCACCAGCAGGTCCCTCGGCACCAGAAAGTCCCTTATCACCAGGAGGTCCCTGAGGTCCAGTCTTCCCCTTTAATCCTTGATCACCTTTAGCTCCATCACGGCCATCACGTCCGTCACGTCCGTCACGACCGGGTGCTCCATTGGAACCATGCTTACCAGGCACGCCGGGAATACCGCACGCAAGATTAGAAGACGATGGACATTGCTAATTTGAAACAAGAAAATATAAAACATAAGAACGAGCGAAAGAGACCACTTCTTCTCTTGCATCGCCTTCAAAGCACTGGATAAATCGTAGAGAAATTTGAACCGAACGGAGTATCACCACTCCAATTTCTTACTAGTAACACTCACTTTTTGGTCAGATGCTAAAATAATGCAAATCAAACAACAAAAGTAAGATTTCCAACCATTTATGTGCAATTTTGTGGCGAACCAACGTTGCTAAATAACTTTGATTCCAATTAAAATGTTATGAGCCAATAAAATTGTTGAATGACCTTCTTCATCACCCGAGACACTCAAGTCAGTTGAGTGTAAATCTTTGTCCACCATTTTGAATTTTCTCGAAAAACTTCTTACCAAGCAGCCGGCTACTTTTATCTTGAGCCCATGATCTGCACCCGAGGGCAGGATTTGGCTCCTTTTCTTAAAGGAAATTCCTAAATTGTCTTCTAAAACATTGTGAAATATGGAAGAAAGGCTAATGTAAGCACTAGAAGCTGCTCCGATATTTCAAAACTAGAAGATAACTAAAGAAATTGCTCAGAATGCAAAAAGTTGCTCGAAACGAAAAAAATGGCTCGAAAAACGAGAAGCTGCCAAATAATTGCCGAGCAACTTGTGGAAAGCCCTACATTCAGTTTTACCGTTTCTCACTTTGACTTTTTTTTTCTTTTTTTTGTTTCGTTTCCTCAAATTTTAAAAGAGGACATTTGTCTCAGTTTTAAGTTTTACTTAGTAGAGTTTAAATTATTCCTACCCCCAGCCCATGAACTAGTCAGATTTACAATAACTGTTTTTATAAACCTACCATTGTTTGCGTGGTTTGATTGCCATTGCTGATTGCCGTTGCAGCACACGTTATGGTCAGCAGTAAGATCAATATGCTCATCATGATAATAGCAAGTGACCGAATCTGCTAATAGCTTGTCAGCTGCCTGTGAAATCAAAAGATGATACACTTTATCTTTCGGCGGCTGACTTTAAAGAGATACCGCCAGCAAAATTGCTAGAAATCCTTAAATATACGTTAGCTTTAGTTGGCTTGAAAAGTGCAATCCACTCGGCTTGCCTTGTTGCACATAGTAAAGCGTAGCCGTTCTTTGTTTCGTCACCATGCAACTCCCTTTCTCAGGGAAACAAAGACCACGTGACTTAAGAAACAAAGAGCTATGGGAACTTGACCCAAAGTATAAAAAATCTAGTTCCTTTTACGCTAAATGTTGTGCCTAGTCTTCGATTCTCGCGCGTTGAGTTTAGGTTGCGAGCGCCCCATGCCGAATGCAATAAACCCTGTTTGCGTGTATACTTTGTTTTCCCAATGAAGGTCCCAGGGAAATTTTGCCCCTTTGTCTTTTCATAATTTATGCGTACATATGCAGATGAATAAGGCAAAATTTGAAAGAAACAGTACCCTAGAATACTATCGCATGACCTGCATTGGTAAAACAAAACATACAAGCACGTGCAATATATGTGTTATAAATCAAACACAAGACGCAGGGGTCTTTTATTGCGATAAAACATTGTTGCGTAGTTCTAGTGATAAAAGCTCTTTATAAACAAAGTGGTGTGGTGGTAAAATTCAAGGATTGAGAAAACGATCGAAAATTTGTCATAAGTATCTACTGTAGCATTTGAATTACTAATAAGTTTAGAAAGTCAGATCCCACCTTACGTAATACACATAAACGGTAACAGCATCTGTTCTTGTAAGAACTTACTTTTCTGTTATCCTCCTTTGCGTTCTTAATTTTGGTTTATCGGTAAAACTAGACCTTGTTTGTAGCCTGCCTAGCACTCCAATGGGGATCAAAAAATAGCTTAAATACCAATCCCATTTGCAAATGTTAAAGATTTGTTTCTGACTACTGGAAACAGATGAGAAAGAATGTATTATAGACTACTTGAATCTTGATCCATGTACTAATATAGCTTTTTAGGATCATCGCAATTTATTTCGCTGCCATTATCCAACATCAAAGATTGCACATCTTAGAAAGTGCCCACCACAAGAGTCAATGGCGTTGACTTGTAGAGATGTGGTTTTACTTTGTTAAGTCTGTGGTCAATCTCCTAAGGGGTGGTCCGACATTCAAAGAAACTTTTTCATTTCTGAATTTTTGGTTTTGAAAACTCGGTAAGCAAGAGGTTTAAGACTATTATAACAGAAAATACGCCTTATGACGTAATCTTTAAAAATGATCTTTTTAGTTCGTAATAGGTGGTTCCTACAACAGTTCATCTGTCATTGAGAATTTAGGAACACGGAAAGATAAATTGGCATTGTGAATTTTAGGATTTACATGTACAGCGTGGAAGAAGACCGATTCATTGTTTGATAAAAAAGTTGATGTTATAGCGTTTGAACTCATACAAAGATTTCAACTAAACAATTTTGTCGCGAAAAAAGGCAAAGCACATCTTATAATGTTGACCTTGTTGGAAAAAATTGACTCTACCTTAACTGCTTATCTTCAAACTTCGGATCTCAAGACCTCTTCTTCCAACACGTCTCTGGTTAGTCTAATAGCCACACAGCTATACTTGAAAAACACTCACTCCAGGTTGTTTAAGTCAAGTTATTTTTCGAGCGTAAAGCTGACGTATTTCACAAACCAAATATTTTTTGAAACTTCCAACGATTGTGTTAATTCAGCTTCATCCAAAGAGATTATTTCTAAGAAATTGTCACTAAAAGTGTTGACTATTGATTGAACAATAAATATATTGAGCATGAGCATTGTTTTAACAGCCGGTTATCTTGAACTTTTACAACTGACAAAATATGAATTGAAAGCGGAAAACCAAACCAAGTTTTGAAACAAGGCAGGTTGCAATTGGTGGTAAATTAAAATGAGTTTTCATCCACTACAGCTAGGGACAAACATAGTTCAAATTGATAGATCGGACAGATTTCGCCAAGTGAAAGGGAAGGTAGTCTGAGTTCCTTAACTACGGGAAGTCTAGCGCCATTGCAGGCTATAGAAACACAGTAATGAGTGCCTTCAATGAACGTAAACAGCAAAGTATATTTAACAAAATAACAGCCTAAGGCTATTCACAATGTACGTGCCGGAGAGCACAAAACCGTACTTGAGAAGGCTTTTGTTCACACTAATCACAGATAAGATCAGTGATTTCGGCGCGATATCTGTAACGGAGCGAAGCTGCCCCGCTTTCGCCGTTCTCAAAAGTAAGCGTCACATATCGAATAGGTTTTGTGCCACACTTGTTCGAACAGCTATATGGACCGTTGCGGAAGTGAATAAGTAGGTGCGAGAACTGGAATCCACTGAGACGGAAGTGAATGTTCAGGAGTGAGGTCCAAACCCCCTCGGTCAACTGCTTCTGAACGATGTTCCGTGTGTGTAAAAAACTTATTCCAGTTCTGTGCTATTTGTATTCAAACTACACTGAATAGTTTTTCGTGTTGGCATGAAAAAGCCATCCGGTACTGAGTGAGAACATAAACAAATTGTGGTACTAATTAAGGAAACTTAATCTCTTATTGAATCTTTTCAGTTGTGCAAACTTTGTAAATAATCGCAAAGCCTGTCAAAGGCATTCAAAGTAATAACGTTAGTTCAGTCTTCTTTCAACGGTCATTTTCTCTATAAAGTTTTTTTAGGTTAACGAGATTTTCAGGTGAAAGTTCAGAAAATCGTTTTTTTTTTAATCGAAATGCAAAGTTTTAAATTCAATGGATTTTTTAACCTCGAAATTAAAGGCTTTTTTCAATCGAAAGAAATAGTAAATAGTGCCTTGACTTAATAGTTTTCTGAACGTGAAATTAATTGTAAATAGAAATTTATAGTTAGCTTTGTTATCAATAAAAGATCATAAAAGATTAGTTTATTACTATTATTATTATTATTAATAATACGGAAACTTTCTATGGCCCCCTCACTGTCCGTATTCATGGTCCTATTTGATTTTTAAATCCATATTACTTACTTAGTATTATTCCGATCGCCTGATGTAAAAAAAGGAAAAAGGCAAGTTTTAATGCAAATTCCATTCGTTTTCACAAGGGCGGTTGATATTCGGAACTGAGACAATAATTCGATCCATCGGCGGGAAAGAACCTGCCTCAGTGTTACAGGAATTCAACAGAAGATTTCATGGAAAATCAGGGTATTAACGTTTTGAAAAAAGCCAAACTGAAAGGCACTTTATCCTTTAGAAAAAATTGAGACCCCTTTTTTTTGTGCTAAAATTTCAGATTCTCTCCGTCTCGCCAATTCCCCTCCCAAAATGAAAAGATTCTGCTGATATCTTGAACTTGTCTTCATAAAGTAGTTTTCTTTGAACGAGTACAAAAATTATAGAATTTGACAAACTGAAGTGCTCTTATCGCAGTATTACTTAAATTATCAGTCCACCACTTGCACCCAACAGAGTCAACAGAGCCCAACAGTAAATGAAAGAAACTTTGGATTTTGTTTGTTTATCAATTTTTATTTTGCATAGCACAAGAACACTGAATAAGGATTCTGTTTTATTCACCGCTTATAAAGCCTCTTTTAAGCTTGCGCTTTGGGAACCTCTTCAACAAAGATCCGGGATACTGAATTCCATCCTGTGTACCCATCAGCGTTCCCATATGAGGCGCAATTTCCGATCCAGAATCCAACGCGCACTTGTCCTTTGTCAATGTTGTTACAGTGTCCCTCAATATGGCGGACACGATGGAGATCTTGACTAGCACCTGTTTGCATGTAAGCCACTCCGTCAATGGGCAGAGGTCCAGAACACTCAGCGCCATCGAAAGTGAAGTACCAACGTTTGCAGCAGCGATTACAGGCGTGAATCCTCAACGCACCCGTCCAGTAAACATGTAGGGCAGTATCAGAAAGTTTTTTCTTGAAGATACATTCCTGTCAAACATTAAAACATAGGAAATTTAATACAAAGCTGTTATTAGTCAAAAGACCTTTTTACCCGGTAATAATAGGCTAAATTTGATTAATACTACTGCTTTGATTTCTATGTGGATCTTCTGTCCTTGGCCTTCCGTCCCATGTTACAGATCGTGGCTCGTTTTTACCAACTTTTGTTTATCGTGATGCTTATTAAATTCAGGAGAGTAGCTAATTAGGGAGGTAGGTAAAACTTAATTTAAAAAAATTGGGTCAAAACAGAAACACGTTTGCCCCACTAACACTCGGCTGAATCCATAAAGGCGTGGCTACAAATAAAATCGTTATATTAAATCACTCGATTAATTCTACAATTACTACTACTACTACTACTACTACTACTACAACGACTACTACTTCTACTAAGGAAAGACATTTAAACGTGTTACCATAAAGACATAGAGCTACAGCTTAGGAAGAGCCACCTACATTCTGATGAACTTCTTAAATGATTAAGGGCATGACTCGACCAGTTTTGCTCTGTTCGAGAGTTAGCTCTGTAGCATGGCTCCGCCTCATTTAAAACTTCTTTTTAGCAAATCTCTCTTCGATTTAGGAAGTGTCAGATCAGTAGCCCTACTACGTACGTACTTGTAGATGGTAGGTAACCTGATCGACATTCCTTCTAACAGAAGAACGGTTGACAGGCTTTCTTCGCCTAACTCAACCTTTAAGTTGGAAACTTTAAAACAGCTTTTATTGCTGTAGTAAACTTTTCAGGTCCTGAATCTCTGATCGATTACTCAGTTCTATAATATTTTGCGCAGTTTTAAGAATTTTTCTCAAATGTATTTTCAATTTAACAGACCCTCTTTTATAAATCCAGGAAGGTTTGAATTCACTTGGAACGAGGCTAAGCTCGTCGTGTCAATTTTGGCGTCTTCAACTCACCTAACAGCATCCTCAAATTAGTCATAATCAATAAGATCAGCTATAGTGGATGAATATGAATATCGTCCTTTTATTAAAAGTCCTTAATACATAAATTACCTGGATCAGACCATTGTCCTTTCCATCATTCAAGTTTCTCCAGACGCATTCTTTCCAATTCTTATAAGGCATCAGTTGAGATGCCCCTTTAGGTCCCGGAGGACCCTGGGGTCCACGATCTCCTTTAGCACCAGCAGGTCCCTCGGCACCAGAAAGTCCCGTATCACCAGGAGGTCCCTGAGGTCCAGTCTTCCCCTTTAATCCTTGATCACCTTTAGCTCCATCACGGCCATCACGTCCGTCACGTCCGTCACGACCGGGTGCTCCATTGGAACCATGCTTGCCAGGCATGCCGGGAATACCGCACGCAAAATTACAAGAGGATGGACATTGCTAGTTTGAAACAAGAAAATATATAAAAGATGTGGCGATTCTCTTTTAAATAACTTTAAGCAGTTTTATTTTGCAGATAAATCAAATGAAACCAAGCGGGCAACTTCCTTTCTTGAAATGCCTTCAAAGTAGAAGGAAAATCCAATGGCAATTTTCACCGAATGGATTATCACCACTTCAATTCCTTATTAACACTCGCTCTTATACCCTGCCACTAGAGGTTTCTCTCACTTACATGACTTTTAACGTTTGCGCTGTCGTTCGCGTCGCTTGTCTGCCGCGTAGTTAACAAATTAACAACGCGACTAACAATCGATGCGAACGGCTTCGTAAACGTTAAAAGCTATGCAAGAGACAAAACTTGTGCTCACAGGGTACTCACTCTGCTCCCACGTCTCTCAACAATGTTACCTTGTTATTGCAAAAAAAGAAAATTTTTTCAAACAGTTGTTTTGTTGTTTCTCTGTCCAAAGGTGTGATGATTTTGCCCCAACTCACTGACTCAACTTTGCCAAAAGTTGGACAGCAAAATACCTTATGTTATCTCTCATCAGATTCTCACGCAACGAACTCCATGAGAGCGTGGCTATGCGACGGAGAGCAAAAGTTGCATTGTAACTTAACTTTTCTTTTTTTGTTTTTCCTGAAATGTCAAAAGGGGACTTTTTAAACATTTTCAGCTTTTCGTTAAACGTGGCAGATTCTAAATCTCCCTACCCCCAGCCCAACTAGTTTTTACCACTACAAATTTACAATTATAAATTTTCTATACAAATCTACCATAGTTTGCATGGTCTGATTGTCCTCTTTAATGGCCGTTGCAGCACACATTATGGACAGCAGTAACATTAATACACTCAGCATGGTGAATATCACGACCAGCTCACGTGACCAGATCTGTCAATAGCTTGTCAGCTGCCTATGAAATTATATCATACACTTTATCCTTTGGCCGCCCATATTGGAAGATATTGGGAAAATTCTTTGCGTGATGATAAAGCATTACAACAGAAAGTAATAAAAAGATTAATTGGATCTGATTTTTTGTTTTGTTTTATTATATGAACTTTCGGTCATTCAGCCGGTACTGTTGAACCTCTTTGGGGCTCCTGGTAAGTTACATAAGTTGTACTTACCTGACTGGTCGTTATGTACCAACTCTCCTAAAGCATCTGACAACATTATTCGTAACTTTTCATAAAGAACTGATATTTTTGGTTCTTTTTCATGAATACCGGCCTATTTATATCTAGTTGTTAAACATTTCTTTTATTTCTAGGGAAAAAATGAAAACGAGCGCTTAAAAAGTAGAAGGTTTTTGAAATACCGTGTCTGGGCGCTTTCTACCACAGCTACATGAACACACCGAATCTTTTTCTACACTGCAGCATTTGATTATAAATAATAGCTCCTTCAGAATGTGTGTTTTCAAGGGAAGGTGACGACTCATTGCATTAGAGTTTGTGGATGAGGGTCCCACTCATTCAACTGAGGTAGAATTTCGATAGACAGAATGGCATTTTAACAAAAATCAGTTCTTCGAGTTGTTTCAATAATCGGGTAGATTTACAAAACGATGTTAATGGCCTTGCTCCCGCCAAACTGTTTGTATTTTTTCAATTTGTGAGGAACTGCCGCGGAAACATGAAGCAGGAATACTATCCCAAAAAAGATTGCAATAAAGCATAGAAGCTGCAGCGCAGGTTTAGTTGAACAGACTGAAATGAATATAACTTGGTTTATATTTAATCTAGAGATACAGGTTTGAAAATGATCAGCGAGTAACAGAAGTGAAACAAGAGCGAACACTGATCTGCTGGTATTTCTTAGAGTACAAAATCGGTAAAGAAAGAGCTGAAGAATCGGCAGACAGACTTGTGTAACCTTCCGTCGAAGAAATTTGATTCTTACGCGACCCACTCAAGGTGAAAAAACAAAAGGAAAAGAAGGAAAGAAAATATCTTCATATACTTTAATCTTGTTATGAAACGGACTTCAGTTATCCCATTTGCCAGAGTGGAAAAGGCACAGAGGTACGCTGGCGGACTCAGTGTGCAGTTCCTGCTTCTAGTTAGCCGTGCCGGATGCAGATACAACGCGACCATGGGTTGTAAGAAATGTAATAATTGTACGTGGGTTCTGCACGGGACGGTTTATGCGTTCTGAAGACGTTTTAACCAAACGCGGTAGTGATTTACACACACCTCATACTTACCCTCCTTGGCCTGTCACCATGAAAGCATTCAGATCTTATTTTTAGGAAAACCACTCTAAAAAGTGGAAAACCACTCTAAAAAGGAGGATTTATTTAAAAGCTGTTTTTTCGAAACTCGCTGGCAGTCACCAAAGGGTTAAACCTACAGGTATTTTATAACCGTATCTACGCTTTATTACGTAATCCCCCAGAATGATCTTTTTCGTTTGTAACGAGCTTGGTCATTCTTCAACATATTGTTCACCTACGTGTCTTTCTTTCAGAATGTGTGGAACACGGAAAATACCGGGGAATGTTGCCATTGTGAATTTAAGTGTTTGCGTTCACCGATTTTTGTCGAAAAAAATTGATGACTTACATATATAATGATTTTTAAACTGCATTAGATGTGAAACTTTGTCACGAAAAACAGATTATTGTCATCGTATAACGTTGAACTAGATGGAAAATCTAACTGTGCTTGAATTGCCTACCTTTAAATTTCAGTTCCAAAGCTTCCTTTTCAACGCTCGGAAAAGATGAGGCCTCAAAGGCGACAAGACTACTCTTGAAAAGCTCTTCGAAATTCAACTTGTTGTTGGTATTCACGTTCAAGCATGATTGACGTTGTTGACGTACTTCTAAAGTGTAGAAACCAATTATTATTGAGATTTTCCCACATGTTAGTACAGCTTTATCCAGAGAGATAATTTGTGAGAAATTATCACTAATGGTGTTAAATCTTAGTTAAACAATGAATATTGAGAATGAGTATTGCTTTAACAACCGGTTATCCTGACAAAATCTGCAATAGTATTGGAAAAAAAAGACCACTTTTTGAAGCAGAGCAGGTTGGTGGCAAATGAAAATGAGCTTTTACCCGACACAGATAGAGACAGACGGACTTCAAATTGATAGTTCGGAAAGATGTCGGCGATTAATTGATAAGAGAGAGCAAGTGAGAGAGAAAATAGCCGGCCTGAGTTCGTGAACTTCCGTGACGCTCACGTCGCTATGGCAGGTCAAAGATACACAGTAATAACTCCCAAAGAACGTTATTTATAAATCTGCAAAAAATAAGAATTTTTTGGTTTTTTACAAAAAATTACAAGCAAAATAACGGCGTATAATTTTTGTGCTAATCAATGAAGGATTGTAACTGTTATTGAAGTTTTTTAATTGTGACAGCTTTGTAAATAATTACAAAACTTAACGAAAGCGTTCAAATTCAGTTTGCTGAGTCTTCTTTGGTTATTTTCTCTATTTTTTTGGCTAATGAAGTTCATTGAAAAGCTTAAGAGCGGGGGCCTGTGAGGCCTTCCCCATAATTAAAGTTGAAAAACTACTGGCAGAAACGTTCAGACCACAACAGCAAAATTTAGCAGGTTTTCCTACATTTGATCTGGGAAAAATAAATTTTTAAGTTACTGAGATTGACGTGTACGCCAACATTGACTTTCCCATAACGACGGATTTTTGGCACCCAATTTTCACTTTAAAAGGGTCTAAAGGTTTGACTTCTGTTTGACGACAATTTGGATATTGTCCATGAAAACTAATACACAAACTGGCCACTCTTAGGCCCTGTCCACACGTATCCAGATATTTTTGAAAGGGGAGGTTTTTCCCTCCCATTTCAGAAAGAAAAAGCATTCACACGTAACGCATTCGAATCGTTTTTGCCCGCCCATACGGAACGGTAAACAATGGAAATACGAAGGAAATACGATAGTATCCCTCACAGAGCATGCGTTTTGATAGTAGTTAGTGATGAATGACATCATCGTATTCGAAAACCTCCGTTTTCGTCCGTCCAATCGTAAACGAGAAGCCAGCATTTTCAAAAATCTTCATTATGGATTGCACGAAAAAAAACGTTTTCAATGACAGTTTTCACCTAATACGTGTGGACGGTAGGCCAAGAACCGGAGAAAAAATCTCCGTTTTCAAACAAAAACGGATACCAGTGGACGGGGCCTTAGAAACACTTCATTTCAATACTTTTTGAACATCATACCGTAGTGCAATTGATGAAAGAAGTCACATATGGTAAAAAAAATGCCTTTATTTAATAAACGCTTCTTACGTAATAAACCCTCTCTTAAAAACGCATATATTTCATAGGCTCGCGGTAGTGTAATCATCCTTTCATTTTTAAAAGTTATTCTGTCTCCGCACTACAATTCACTACAACTGGGCTTCGAAAAAAAGGCAAACAACGAAAGGATTTGTTTTTAAAAATAAAGAAAATAAGTTCAATGTGAAACCCTCCGGAAAATAAACCATGGTTTCCTTCAAGTGACGTATTCATCTCTACAACAATCAAAACTTCAGAAGATGTAACTTTGAATGAAAAAAGACAATTAAACCGAATAAACCAGTCTGTGTAGATTATTAATCTTAGGCCATGACCTAATTGAATCCGGACACTTTTGAAACTGCATGAGCGGTCAAAATCTTTCACTCCATTTCAAAGCGTGATATTTTTTGGGCAGCCTGAACCCTAACAATGACAAGACTAAATGAAACTAACTGTGGAATTTGACTATTTTCAGTTGTATCTATTTGTATGTTTACTTTCCACAATGAAAAAAAGTCGAATAGGAAATCACTTTAATCTACAGTCCTTTTTAAGCTTGCGCTTTAGGAACTTCTTCAACAAATATCCGGGACACCGACTGCCATCCAGTGTACCCATCAGCGTTTCCATATCCGGGGCAATTGCCGATCCAGAATCCCACGCGCACCTTTCCGTTGAGTATGTTGTTACAGTGTCCCTCAATATGGCGGACGCGATGAAGATCTTTATTTCCACCTGTCCGCATGTAGACAACTCCGTCAATGGGCAGAGGACCAGAACACTCGGCGCCATTGAAAGTAAAGTACCAACGTTTGCAGCAGGCATTGCAGCCGTAAATTCTCAATGCACCCGTCCAGTAAACATGAACGGAAGTATCAGAAAAGTTCTTGGTAAAAACACATTCCTGTCAAACATTGGAACACACGAAAAATTACACAGAGTTTCCATAAGATCTTATTTTCTTGGTAGTAACTGTGTACTGACTGTGCTTTTCCTTTCTGTCCTTTCATCCTTATATGATTTAGCGTAAGTTGACCGTAAGCCTTAAATAATAATAATAGTAATAATGATAATTTGAGTAGCACACAGCTCGTGACGAGGACTGTGCATGGATGTGTCCGCTGCTGCCCTTGCCAGGACCAGTTGGCTACTAGCCTGGTAGCCTAGTGCCTGATAAGTGTCCCGCACTCAGGGATACAAGTTCCTTTGTACACAGGATAATGGTTTTGACCCATGCGCTACGGGAGGAGTCCCCTAATGAAAAAATCATACTCACAAAATATTGTGATGATGAGTGAAACATTGAATATCGAAAACGGCGTAAATGGGACCAATGGTGCCTGGCCCGGCAGGGTCTCTGGGGAAGAGCAGCCAGCACCAGGTCGTAATCCTGCTATTGCTTAAGTAAGATGGACCAAAGAGATAAACAAGATTGATTATGGAGTGCTATATCGGAAGTGACCCGAGCAAAAGAGGGTACACGAAAAGAATGATGGCAATATGGCGAGAGATTGGAGTGTATAAAACCCGTACAGAGCAAAGACTGGCAGATCAAGGAAGAGTTATAAGTCGAATGCATGGTTAACTGATATGAAAATTGAGGAGCTAAGACGAAAACAAAGGCTGTGATGACGTAGATCCCAGTGAAAAAGAGCCGCAAGCTCGTTCTTGGGAAAGCGACAGCGAAGGCATTAACATCAACAGAGAGCAGCATAGCTCCCCCCCCAATCTCCTCGCGGTTTCTCTGCCCTCGCCCGGCCTTTATTCGAGCCCAACCAAAACCGCCATGCTACGCAGGCTATGAGAAGCAGAGGGATGAGGACAACAGCTTGAGCCAATTTGAACAGATACCAGAGAAGCTGACATTGAACTGACAGCTGAATTAAATGAGAAGGAACTGAGGAAGATGACAAGTTGTAAGTCTCCAGGCCCAGATGGCCTGGCAGGATATTGGCTTAGGAATCTCACCTCAATGAAAGAAAGAATTGTAAACAGCTGAATGAAAGCTTACAAAGATATTATGTGCCATATTGGATGACCAAAGAGAGAATTGCACTAGAAAAGAAAAACAAAGAGCAGGGGGCAGCAGTGTCTAATTCTACGAAAATCGGTCAGAGTTTTCATAAAGAAACAATTTTTCATGGAAAAAAAACTTTCCAAGTTAAAATCTGGCTAATATCCTGACTGAATGACTCAGAAAACCCAGGAAAGGTGACTTTAGGGAGAAGCCAAGAATCTAAAAAAGTTCACGAGAGTGCATGCCCCCGAACCCCTAGACGCCTTCGGCTCTCGTTTAGGAAAACGGTCAATATTTATCCTAGATCCGCGCCTGCAATCACATGCTTGCCAATGATGTGGAAGGTGTTCACTGGAGTACTGGCGGACAAAATGTATGAACATCTCGAAGAAAAGCATCTACTCCTGGCGAAACAAAAAGGATATTGAAGAAAATCGAGAGGGACAAAGGACCAATTATCAGGAGCCTCTTGCAATTGTTTGTTGACAAACTTATCATCAAGAACTGTAAAAGGAGGAAGACGACACTCGGAATAGTTTGGATTGATTATAAAAAAGTATTTGATATGGTACCCCCTTATGGATACTTGAATGTATGAGGATGTTTGGTATAGCTCAGAATATGGTGGGTTTGATCCAAAACAGCATGAAACAAAGGAGAACAGTTTCAACAGCTAGAAGTGAGGCTCTTCTGGCGAAGATCGTATCAGAAGAGGAATATTTTAAGGAGACAGCTTCTCACCTCTCCTTTTTGTGATCTCACTCACCCCCCTAACTCTGGTGCCCGATGATATGTGGATGGAGTTTGGAATATCAAAGTGTGCAACCCAAATTATGAAACGAGTAAAGGCGATCCAAAGTGAAAGAATCATGCTCCCTGGGGATAAAAAGATACAATCACTGAATAGTGAGGTTAATGAAAGTATCTTGGGTGCTTGAAGCGGATGGTATGAAACACAGTGAGATGAAGGAGAAGATCCAGAAGGAATATTTCCGCAGAGTTAAGACCATACTAAAGTCTACGCTTAAGAGGGGCAATACGATCAAAGCAATAAACTCTAGGGCAGTATCCACTGTTAGGTACGGGGCAGGAATTGTTGATTGGATCAAGGAAGAGCTGAAAGTGATGGATCGCAAATCAGGAAGGCTAATAAACATTTTTCGTGCATTACACCCGCACTCAGACCTGTTGTACTTTAAAAGGTTCAGAGGGTGGACGTAAAATGATAAGCATAGGAGACTAATGTGTTAATGTCGATCGAGGTAAATAACATAAAGTGTTACTGCCAAGAATCAGAGGAAAGGTGCAAAGAGAATGCAGAAAATGTTCTTTAACAGAAGGATCCTGGAAACTGGAATAACTCATCTTAGATAGAAGATCATACCCGAAAGTACCACGAAATAACCCTTCATGGACAGTGTATCAGAAGAATCGAGAAAATTAGGGACTCGAAGTCGTGGGAATGGCTTAAGAAGCTAAAAAAATAAACTTGAAGGATTTCTCATGGCCTCACAATATCAGACTCTGCGTACAAACAGTGTAAAGAAGCTAATTGACAATCAAAATGTTTCCCGCGCATTAAGAATGTGTGTAGAAAGAGTGGAGACAGTAAGCATGTAGTAGTAGCACTGCACTCGATCAGAAAAAATACACATAAGGAACACACACTCTTATTTGTGACCTGCAAATGGAAATTAAATGAGTGATAAAAGGTCATTAATAATAACAATAATAATAACATTGTTATAACCCGTCAGCTGAAGCTGTTATAAATGGGTGCCCTGGGCAACTAAAAAATTAACAATTAAAGGAAAAAATAACTATAACAGACCAACTATCAGAAAAATGTAAAAACTATGCACAATGTCGATGCACAAAAACAAGAATTATATAAATACGTAAATTGACTCTAAAAAATAAAAATAAAAAATATTTACAAGAAGTGTTTTAAAAACCAACTTCCTTGAGATGGGGTGGCAAGTTATTACCAGTTGTGTTCTTGAATCTGCTGGGGAGCAGAGTGAAATGGAAGTTGTTCTACGATGCAAAAACGATGTTTGTGTCGGCGCTTTGTCCGTAAACTTAACAAAGCTTTATTTTGTGTGTGTCTTGCATTTCACTGTTGGTGTCACGCGATTGCTATTAGCGTCTCGCCTTTCACTGTTGGTTATTAATAAACGGTACTGTAATTGGTGCGCGAAAGAGGTAGAGAGAGAAAAGAGACTCATTACCGTTAATTGGCCAGTACAGATAATACCATGTATAAGCATCGTCATTAGTTTCTCTTTGGAGTTAAAATGGCCTCAAAAGAAACTGAAAACAATGCTTATGCAAAATTTTGGAGTGACCAACAAAGAGTATTATGGTATGTTACGGTATTTTCTGTAGTAGTCAATTCAAATTATTAATTAATTAATAACCAACAGTGAAACATGACAGCCGCGTGACAACAACAGTGAAATGCTGGACAAACCAGATAAATAAAGCATTGTGAAATATACGGACAAAGCGGCGGCACAAACATCGTTTTTGCATTTGTAGAACAAATTTCACTTTGCTCCGCAGCAGATTCAAGAACAGAACAGGTATCTTTTATCTTTCATTTAATTTCTATTTACAGTTTACAAATAAGTCAAATAATAGCCTGCGTAGCTGGCGGTATTGTGTGGGTGCGAGATTAAAGTTTTGGCGGCGGAGCCGTGTTCCAAAAAAAGGGAGTAAGGACGAGGCGGTTTCACGCGGCTTCGCCGCTCGTGACGACTCCGCCGTCAAATCTCACTCGACTATATTACAACGGCTCCGCCGCCAAATATCACTCGACTACTCAGACAATACCGCCAGCTACGCAAGCTAGTCAGATAAGAGTGTGGGTTCTCTATGAATACATTTAAATTATGGAGTCACGATAAGGTCACCCAGCTTATCCACTGGGATCTCAGCGAGAACAGTGGTTTTGAAAGAGCAGCAAACTGGTATGACCACAAACCGGATCCAGTCTGTGATTCTGAAAGGACAAACGTCTGCGAGATTTAAGATCCAAACGGACCATCACAAGACACATTGAACACAGCAAAGCCCTAAATTAGGAAGAGAAGTTGTGCGTTATGATTGATGTTGCCTGCCCATTCGACACTAGAATTCACTAGAATAGTGAGCAAGGAAAGAGACAAGATCGATAATTTGAAATATGAGATCAAACGAATTTGGAACTGTCGATCAGTTCAAGTCATCCCAATAGTAATTGGTGCACTGGGAACATTCTCGAGGGGATTTGGAATGTGGCTGAGACAGTCGGGAATGCCATATTGCATCGAACGTTTGCAGCGAATAACCTTGCTGGGATCAGGAAAGATTCTGAAAAAAGCGCTGGACACTTAATTATATTAAGGACAGAACAGATGGCACGGAGTATCCTATTGTAGGTCACAGACAGTGACCCGATACTCCGCACCATTTCCTGCACTATGTAGTGATAGGCCTATGATAATCATGATGATGATGATAATGATAGCATTTATTTATACACGATAAAAAATTACGTGTTAAAACAAAAAATACTATCGAAATCAGTAAAACAATTATCTTATATCGTTTGTATTGGGGAACTTTTCCTGGCTATGGGCAAGATTTTTAGAACGGTGCAGTCGAAAGCGCGTTCACTCCCTATTCATGAGTAAAATATTATCGATAACACCTGTCGAATAATCAGTCAACCACATTTGAAAAACAGCCCTGTTTCAGATGTCAAAGACGAACCTGACAACGAATCATGTACACAAATAGTTTAGCGCATAAATCAGTCATCAAAATGGAGTTTTAATTTCCAGTTGTTCAGCCTTTTCTGTTTGTTGTTTCTTCTTCTTCATTTTTTTTCTCCTGGCTTCGTGGGAAATTTCGATTTTGAAACGATTTTAAAACGGCTCTAATTCATACGCCGGGTGGCTCTTATTCATACGCTCAAATTCGTACTTTTTTGTATGTCGGACCTAATACCGAATGACTTGATTTGTCATGTTTCCTGCACTTTCAGATTTTTTGGCGCCAACTGTATTAAGTGTATCAGGTTGTTGTCTGTTTGGTGAGCTTAGGTTTGTTAATGAATTAGTCGGAACATTTTGTCAATTTAGGTCAGTCCTATTTCGATTGAATTTCGGATCATGAAAAGTTCAATCGGCGACTAGAATAGGTTTTGTAGCAAAAAAAAAATTTGGTGGCTATAATCAGTAAAAGTACCTTAAAAACTTGCTGAGTGTCCTTTATCCTTTTTGTGCAACTCACCTTAATAAGACCACTGTCCTGGCCATCATTCACGTTTTTCCAGACGCATTCTTTCCAATTCTTAGGAGGCATTTGGCCAGTCAACCCTTTTTGATCAGTAGGACCCTGGGTTCCAGGTTCTCCTTTAGCACCCTTCTCTCCCTTTGGACCAGAAGATCCTCTATCACCAGGAGGTTCCTGAGGTCCAGTCTTCCCCTGCAATCCTTAATCACCTTTAGCTCCATCACGTCCGTCACGTCCATCGCGGCCTGGCACACCAGGAGAACCATGCTTGCCGTGCATGCCGGGAATGCCACATGCACCATAACAAAATGACGGAGATTGCTAGTTTGGAACAAGAAAAACGAATAACGTAGAGGTTCACTTCGAGTGATTGTATTCAGGTTTTCTTTCTTTTTTCCGTAAAACCGAATTAGACTGTTCTAATTGCATCCCCTTCCGAGCTTCGCCGGCTGAAATGAGCGTTGTAGGACACTCCCAGTTATTTTTGCACTCGCTAGGTACACCTCTGGAAAGATTGTGACCTTTCTGAGTTGCAAAAACAGGAAACAGTTTTGTTTTCAAATGCGATCTCTCCAGTACCCTGTTACTAACAGAAAAGGCGTCTTACAAAGCGTACAAAAATCTGAAAAAAATGACAAGTATGATTTTCTCTTACTTTAAACTGTAACCATCTAAGCTTAAGGTCTCACGTCGTCGTTGCTAATCTAACTGTTACCAAAAACCAAGTAACATATAGTTTCTGCAAGCAGAATACTTCAATGCTGATCGTACTACGTGAAAATTAACTCTGCAAGACATCAACACGACACCGAAAGAACTCAAAACAGCATTGCACTATTCTGCTTGCAGAATTTAATATGTCTGCTTTTCGTTTTTGCTGATCAGGTCTTTACAGATCCTACGTTCTTCAGCATATTCGTTTGCGGTCCTTTGTAGTCCTTTGTTTAGGGTTTATGTTTGTACTATATAGTTTCTCTTTTCTCTCCTATATATATTCACCATTTTCACATGAGCCATAATGCACCTTGTTTACCCCCTACCCNCCCCCCCCCCCTCCCCCGCAAAAAAAAAACATCTTGCATAATCATTGTTTCTGGTTTCCCCTCGGAATTACAACAGTTGTCCTAAGAGAAATCGAAGACAATGGTTAAGCAAAATTTTAAGAGGTAAACAAGGTGCATCATAGTCTACAGTCGAACCTCTCGGTACGGACACCTGTATAATGCGGACACCTCTCTATTACGGACAGTTTCCAATGTCCCGACAAAATTCTCGTATATTTTCTTGTATAAAAACCTCTATAATACGGACAACGGACACTAAATGTCGGCCCTAGAGAGTAAAGTCATATAAACTTAACCTCTTTATTACGGTCACCGCGGTGATCAAGTGAATCCCGAATCCCGATTAGGTGAATCTGCATAGGGTGAATGCTGAGGAGCTATGCAAGGTGATATAAAGCCCAGTCTCTGTATACCAAACAACGATTAGCGAAAGGTGTACGGAGGAACATAACCGACGTTTTGAAGGCTTCAATAACTCCGGATAGCATAAAGGTCAATTTTGTACTCTAGTTACTGTTTACTGCACTTGCATAGCGAAAGACGCTTCCAGAATTGTGCTTTACGTTACAAGTTTTTACATGCAGCATTGCCCTTTACCTTGTTTCGTTTGAAAAAGTAATTTTTGTATAGCTGAGATGTACAATGTTCTATGCTACTGAAAGACAGTGTCTTTGTACTGTGAATTAATGACTTTAAACTCAATTTAAAGACGAGTGTGAGCCTGGTTTTAGCTACTGAACACTTAAAACTGTAAATGGAGTCATAAAAGTGATGTCATCGTAGTGGTCTCTTTTATGCGGACACCTCTCTAATACGGACACTTCGCTCTGTCCCTTCGGTATCCGTATTAAAGAGGTTCGATTGTATGTGAAAATGGTGAATAGTTTCTTATACCGTAGTTTGTGCGGTCTGTTTGCTGTCCCTAATTGCTGATGCTGCACACATTATGGTCGGCAGTAATATCAATACACTTAGCATGATGGCAGCTGGTGGATCAGATCTCTTCTTAATTGCTTGGCTGCTGTCTGTGAACTAGAGAATCACCAGTTTTCAATGTAAGTACTTGTTAGGGAGTTAGGAATGGAGATGTTTAAGATCCCATAGAACATGATGATAAAACCTCTAAAGAAATGGTGTGTCATATACACTGCAGTAGCCGGCTCTCCTACTCAGTACAACAACGTACGTCTGTACTTGCAACAGAGTTAAGTGTCCTGATGCTTTCGTTTTTACCAAATCAAGATTACAGCTAATATGTGCGTCATATGATGTAGGGAGCGATCATTCGTTACTCTTTATCAATTAATTTTCTTTGAGTATTATTGGTCTATCTATCTATCTCTACCCGGACGCCTCGCTTGCAATAAATTGGGGCGCTTTGCCATGTCTTTCGCCTTGTTTAGCGTGATCTCTCAAAGCAACTGAATATTCCCGTATTTTCCTCAGGCCTTGGATCGCCACCAGAAAGGAAAGGCATACGGTTGTATCTCCTCTCTTCTCTCCGCGTGATGTTTCTTCTCGAGGGTGACGATTTTCACGCGTCCTCGCGTGTTTCGCCCGACCTATCTCTGAGGAAAATAAGGGCCTACTCAAGCTTAATTGAGCCTGAGATATGTTCTAAAGAAATGGTTTGATAAGTTTTTCCCATTTTCATTTTCATTTTTTTTTCCCAGTTAAGAAGGTTTTGGAAAAAGAAGTGTACAGTTCTGATCCGCTACTGTTGGTACTTAAGCAGTCCTGCTTAAGTGACGGGGCATCAAGAATTTGATGGTTTGTCAATTTATCGTCCCTTTCGAAAATAAGCTGTCGCGCAGTCACGTTATATGATCACACCCGCCATATCACATTTCACTGTTCCGGGCAACAATAAAGTTTAAGGTTAATTTAGGATTTGTTGCTTGATGTATATATCTTCCATGTTGAGTACTTCCCACAAGTATCCACATAAAAGAGTCATTGAGACTGAAGTTTTGTATCCTTGAATTTCATGACCACAAAAGTGCTTTAAACAATTACAACTGCAATTATAATTTAAGATAACAAAGATCCTCGGTACCTCATGCCTGAGCTATTTTTCAGGACCAAAACATTTTCAATTGATCAACTAGGCGTTCTGATGAAGATATAAAATTGCTTAGTAGTTGGGACGAAAACACAGAATGCTGAATGACTCTGACGTTTGGTTTGGTGAATCAAGTTCCCTTTCTGAGTTCTCCCTAAATAGACTGTATAACAACGCAGGCAGATACTTACTTTGGTTTGGTGAATCAAGTTCCCTTTCTGAGTTCTCCCTAAATAGACTGTATAACAACGCAGGCAGACACTTGGTTCAGGTAGTTTTCTAAGCCACTAACCTTTATCACTTAATTTCCAAGAGTTGTTCGGTGTTCGGGGCCGTTTGGCGTGTCCAGTGCAAATCCCTGCCGGACAAAATATACTTACACTGACTTCTGTGAAAGTTTCCTCAAGGATATCGTTCAGTTCTCTCGGCACGCACTGCACTCAGGCTAAACTGACAAATACGCTGATTGCGCGAGAGAGTTTAAGCATGCAGAAGTGAAAGCTAAAACTGTTGATTGTCTTTTAAATTGGTGATTAAGAAACAAACAGGAAGCTGTAATACAAGACACGCTACGTGACCGAATGAATGTCTCTAAACTCCCTTTTAAACTGGCCATTTTTACTGGTAATGGATTTCTTAATTACAACCACCAGAATTCATTTTTTTCCTCGTTCTTGTTGGAATTCCGCTTTTCGAGCGAGATATAAGCAAAAACGTCCAAATTTTTATAGCAAAACAAAAGCTGAGGTATGCATTCCTTCAGTTTTAGCAAAAGGGATGGATGGGCTTCAGCGACGACGACAAAACGACGGCGACAGCAACGAAAATGTAGCTAAATGTCAAAAAAAATAAGGGGCTGGTTTAGATTGGAAAACAACAGCTTTACACGTGCATTACACTTTTTTGTACACTTCTCTGCCGTCATTGCACGACTACGACGTGAAAATGCCTAATTTCACGTTTTGTGGAAAACATGAGCACAAGACAACTATTTTCTTTTTCTGTCTTGAACAGTACAAGCCGAGAGTACAGACTTTTAGAACCAACTCCAGGAAAATTTTACATTATTTAACGAATTGAACAAGATGGAATAAGCGCGATAAAGTTTGAAGCAGCGTGAATTCACTTTTTAAGTGACGCTTTCCTAGCAGTCACCGTCGTTGTTGCTTAAGCTCCTTATCAATATCCGTCTTCATTCCAAGCCATGCCATGTTTTAAGGTGATGTTACACAACCTCTTCCCCAGGGTCCACGCGGGACGATTCGTCACATCGGTATTTGGCGCAACACAGCAATGCAATGTTGGAACAATGTTGCAAACCTTGCGAAACAGTGTCGTAAGGATGTTGAAAAGCTGTGTTGCGCTCAAAACTCGTCGTTGCGAATCGTCCGAAAGGTGATCTTACATGGATCCCACAGGGTTAAGAAACTGACATATTTTTGTCTGTAGTAGACAATAATTTTTATTTTTTAAGACCGTTAACAGTAAATTAACTGATGGTTTGATAGCTGACTAGTCTTACTCGGAGCCACCCGAAAAAAGACCTCGAGAAGCTACCCTCCACCCCCCTCCCCCAGAAATTGCCTTCTTATGGACCCCCCTTCCCTCAGAATCTCCGTTGCCCTCTGTGGGGGGTATGGATATTTTCTGGAACTAGATATAATAACTAAACGAGTGACCCAATCAGATCTAATTTGTTATTACTCCGGTTTTATTTCATCCTTTCGAGGCAATGTATTGCCCCATCACAGTCTGACTATTTTAAATCGAATAAAGTCTTAACAACTGTGTGGCCTTGACTCTCAGGTAACGTTCAGTGTAGAGGCACCGATGAAAGTCTCTAAAGAGGGTGTGGATGCCGCTAAGTGACAACTGACAAGTGGCCAAAATTTTAACTGATAACTGACAAAGGACCTAATTGTCTTTTATTTTCTACAAAACCCGTTTTTGAGGTTTTAGCATTGTTTTAGCATTGTTCAGCCACTCTTTTCGTCAGATAATGTGATCAAATGTGCGTTTATATGGGTAATCTTAGCAGCAGGACGATTAAACTAGTGTCATATTTCAAAGCAAAACTGATAAAAAGTAAGGTACTATTGCATCAGTTTTCGAATTTAATTCGCATTATATGTGCCTTTTTAGTTAAATTTTGGATTAAAAATGAACAAATAAGTTTCATAGCTAATTAGTAATAATCATTTAACCGACAACTGACAAATGGCCAAAATTTTAACTGAATACTGACATCTGTACTACGCCCCCCCTCACTATATTTAGACGCTATTCCTAAATTTGCTCTTAAAACGTGGATGAGCATACAGCGATTCAACGACCTACAGATACACAGAAAATGTTCTAATAGAGTCCTTCCCTTAAATAAGCCCCTCTTTTCTAATTAGCCCCTCCTTCCACGCTATTAAGTTGGACCCTGGGGTGACCAATAGGCGGCTTCGCATGAAATTTGCTCCAAATACTAGTAAATTGCGAAACGGCAAAGTCATTTTATTTATTCAGTTTCTTGCTTGATTAACAAGCATTTGCGCATGGTATTTTGTTCAATGTCAAGTTCAAAGTAAGGATTCGGACATCGAAGTTGAGATTTAAAAACGACATAGATCTCAAAATGGTCTAGACTTATCAAGCGAGCAAATTAAATATCAGCTGCCCCCTGGAGTCGCACTCTACCGAAAGTCTCTCTCGGGAGTGTGACTGGGGGAGACAGCTAAAATTCAGGCTGCGAATTGTCCGGTTAGCTTTTCGTGCTGACACAAAAAGCTGTCCAGTGGCCGAATTTATACTAGAGACGAATTATCCGCCGTCTCAGACGGATAATCCGTCTCTGGTATAAATTCGGTGATAAGACGAATTATGGAGCAAAATTTGTCTGAGGCTGATTCGTCTGTTAGCACGTCTAGAAGACGTGCTAACAGACAGATAATTCGTCTTAGACAGATTATCCGTCTCTATATTTATATCTAGACGGAACGTAAATGATTTTTTAAGAAGTTTCTACATGAAAGGGACTGGTTTCTATATTTTCGCAATGTTTCCTGTTTCTCGCGGTCGTTTCAGGCTTAAAATATCTAGTCAAATTATGGAGCAAAATTCGTCTTCGTATTTATACCTAGACGAATTATCCGTCTAGATGGATAACTCGTCTCTAGTATAAATTCGGCCAGTTAGTGTGAACACATATGCAATATGTGATTCTGCACTTGAGAGCCAGTCTCCGTTACAGAAATCGCGCCGATAACATTCTTCTCATGTGTGAACAGAAGGCCCTGTCCGGTATGGTACCGATGCAGCCTCCTCCTCAGGCGCTTCGTTTTTCGCAAAGTAGAGGCGAGCGACTGGTGATGAGCTGCAAGGGACCATGGGAAGGGTACAGACAGCAGGCGAAGCCCGTTGTCTCCTTCCCGCCATCCTTTGCGCGCGAGGAGGAGACGTCTGGGTACGAGGCAGGTACCGATGCAAAATCTATACGGTACAGTGTCAACGTAGTCGAAGTTTTCAATGCGAAAAATTAATCCCAAATTTCATCACATCAGAAATGACAGTGGTCATCATTCTTTGAAATAACTGACGGCGGGAAACTTTGGGTTTGGTCTTGAAAACCCTCAAAAGTCCCAAAAGTAATAATTGGATAAACCCTGTCAGGATAAAAGAGCAAAGCAAAGATAGTCTGTTGACACAAATGTCATTCGAGGATCTTTAAGACGTCATGGTTAGTACTTTTTCACTGGTTAAAATCTTTGAAACTATAAATATTTTATGACAAGACGGAATCGAGTTGCTTGTCAGTGTTTGATATGTTTCCCCTATTGGGTCTCCACTAACATTTCACGAACGAATAAATACCCAAAGAGTCATGCTTCAGTTGGTTTCCAGGTAAGAGGAATGCTGGTTTTCCTGTTGTTACGTAATGATAAAGAAAAACTTCTTAAAAGTTCTTAACTATCACTCTCTGCTACGTAGTCCCCAAAGTCTTTTGTTATTGCTGTTATTATTGTTGTTGTCTTGTATTGCTTTTTCTCGGCTGTAACACGCCGGTTTTGGCCTCACTTGGCATTCATTCAAAATAGACCAGTTTATCTGATAATCCTTCTGTAAATTTAGTAGTTTTGAGGAAGGTATCTTACGTCCTCTTAGTTCCGGATTCAGACTCAGATTTCGGCATTCATCACTGGTTTCTGAAGGTTCCCTTGAGAGTGACACAGGTTATTTAAATCAAATCAAATCTATGTTTGTTCGGCTTCAAACCCTCTGAGTAAATCTATCTGATGAAAGCGAGGTCCTATCGGCGTGTGTCGAGAAAATTGTTTGAATTAAAGATCTACTTACTTCATTCCTTATTTGTCTGAAAGAAAAAGTTACAACTAAGTTGTATTAGGGCTCAAAATGTACGATAAATCCGCCGAAAAAAAGCGACAGTTGAAGACGTACCATTTCAGTAACATTTGAAAGTTGACTTTTATTACGAAGTCATCAAATGCAATGGAGTCACTAAAACTACTCCGGCAAGGCTCAATTGAATCGTATAGCGTCTTGAATTAAAATATGAGCGGAACAATAAAAAATGTGGACAGTTAAGATAAAGACATTTTTAGAGCGACTCTTTAACAGGTTAAAAAAGAGTCTTGGCAATACACAGTGAACACAAATACTAGGATTGTCCTTAAAAGGTATGAAACAGAAGGGTCTTGTGTCTCTTTCTAAACGTAAACATCATCTGTTGAAGACTGATTTTAATTTTTATGTTGTCTTAACCTACACCAAAAGTTACATAATATCTATTTAAAGGCTTTGCATATGAATCGAGCCACATGAGCGACCCGTCCGGCTTGAAGAACGAAAGGAAACGAATTGAACAAACTGAAAGTAAATTTGATGTAAAACTGAAAATGAATCAAAAACCCTGCTACATCACGGTGTTTGAAAAGCCTTCCATTCTGTTTTTGAATAATCTCGTTTCCGCACTGACTATTACTTTTAAAAACGAATAGACAACAAAAGAAAGAAAGAAAAATACTTATTAAAACACTGATGTACTGGGAACTCCGGCCAATGAAAGTCTGTTTAACAGCTGTTAGTTCACACGTAATAAACTCGTTGTTTCTGTGACATGGAGTCCAAGTTGCTAATAACCTACCCCGCATTATCAACTGTATAACAAGCGCTTCTCTTAAAATCGCGGGACACCTATTCTTCTGTAGCGGCTCTCTTCCATTATTTAAGTGTTTCGTTATCATTTAATTGAATATTATTTTTGTTAGTTTTTCAATCTATGGTTGAATTAAAAAAACAGTAATTTTAACTCCTTTGGTAGGTTAACTTAACTCCTTCAAGAGTTGAAGTTTCGAAAATTTTTTTGACGCCAATTTAATTCACTGTAGTTTGAGAAAGTTTTGGGCCAAGGACTTTACATTCACATCTTTCAACACTGTGTATATCACATTCTAAAGGAGCGTGAGAACTGATCAGTAGTCCATGAGTTTCACTCCCGGCGGGCATATCTTTAAGTCTTACATCCTTACACTCACTAATCCAAGAATTGTCCTCACAACTTTTTCCTGTCGTGAGAGAGAACCCATTTTTTTTTTTGTCAAAATGAACAATGCAGATGTAGTGACATCAAAACTGGTTTTCGTCGCCTTAAGCTACGAGCAAACGGACGCAACAACTCCCAACATTGTGAAACCACTCGCATGCGGCTCGTGGTTCCACTAGAGTTTTGAACATTTTATGACGTCATTTCTCTGGTCTATAAAAGTGTGTGGAAAATTGTGGTCGATTTAATTAGTATTAAAGGAAACGAGATCATTAGGATCGACACCAATGACAACGATTTCACTTGTTGCGGTCGACGAGTGAAAACCACATGCCTAATTTTTGTCTTGGGTATAGTCTGCTAAGCCGAGGCAAGATTTGCAGCGTTGTCATACACGGTAAAATTATACGCTGGCTGACCGCATTTCTGACATCTCTGATAGTTTCTAGTGATGATATGGATATTACAGTGCTAAACTATTTCTTTCAATTTCTCTTCAAATCGTTTTTCTCTAGATACTTGGATCTACACTATCAGAATTGTCCGTTGTATGTTATTTCGTTTCTGTTCATGCTATCCAGGATGTGTCATGGCGTAACTGCTGAACAATGCCCAACGCCAGAACCAATTCATAGCAAAGCGTTGAAAGGATACACTTTCAAGACTCTGATAAACTTGAGTTTATTTGAATGCTTTTATTACTGTCATGATGAATTCAGATGCCAGAGTTATAACTACGTTCTAAAAGAAAATGTTTGCGAGATGAACAACAGAATAAAGGAAGTAAAACCAGACCAGTTTGTTTCAGATCCAGACCGCCTCTACAACAAACGTGGGGCACATAGAGGTAAAATATAGTTGATAAATAATTCAAGGCCCTGTCCACACTAATGCGTTTTCAAAAGTATGCTTTTTCTTTGTCATCGAAAACGCATCGATCGATTCACGTCCACACTACCGCTTTTATGGGTTTTCGCCTGCGCCACTGACAGGATATGTATGCGTTTTCGTTTTCATCCACTTTTAACAGCTTTTCCAAATCGATGCGTTTTCGATGAAAGTGCTCAGCGTATTAGTGTGGACGGAAGGCTTAAACACATTAGTGTGGACAGGCCTAAGGCAATTGCATTGCTGTTATAATTTCATTAACCGATATTCTCTGCAGTGAGCCTCGGTTCGACTTCCGCGTTACCAGCAGAATCGTGCGAGGAAATCAAAATCTGTGAAGGAGGAGACGCGGTCAGCGGTAATTGGTGGCTTGGCAATGGTTCTGGAGAAGCGACCTTGGCTTACTGTGACATGCATGAACCTGAAGGTATGATCCCAGAAGTTGCGTTCTTAAAGGCTGCACCGGTCGTTTCAGGGTATTAGGGGCTCTGGAAGGCTTTGTTGGAGGGTAGGGAGATATAAATGTCAGTAATCAGCTCGAGTGTAGACCATTTGTTCGGTTTTAATTAATTGGCTCTGAGTTATTTATTTCCAGCATAGTTGTAACTTTTTGACAGAACGTTAACCATAAGTTACACAAAGCATTAGCCGGGTTATATCATAATTACAATTTTTTTAAAGTAATAAAAACTTATATAGCGCACTTTTCCATGGGGCATGATCAAATGCGCTTTACAATGATTTAAAAAGGTAAAGGCGGACACGAGCCAAAGGCCCACACGGCCGGAAATTATACTGGTTTCCGTAGCATGAAGCAAACCTAGGTATATTGCTACTCCCTCCTGGACGGAATGCTAGTCCATCGCAGGGTTTTCCCCCAGCAGTATGTCCTTACCCAATTATACACCTGGATGGAGAGAGACAAAGTGGAGTAAAATTCAATGTCTAAGGAAACCAACGCGACGGGCCAGGCTTGAATCCCAGACCTCCAGATCCAGAGTTATATATGGAGGAACGCACTTGAACTTTAGGTCGAGGTTTAGTAATGAGGTGATGTTACTGAATATCCCTAAAGCGACTATCCCTAAACTATCCTTAGCTATCCACCAAACAGGCATAAAATGCTGACGCATAACTACTAACGTCCTGTTTATCAACGTCACTAAGAAAATGTTCATCTTATTTTGTATCTAACGACCGCAAAGTTTCTGACACTAACATGTGGCCATCCGGGACCTTTGCACTTCCTCGACCCAAGCTTGGTTGTCCTGAATTAAATGATTTTGACTGGAAACTTGGTTAGAGATTCCAGGATACCGAAGACACAAACCCTAGAAACGGGCGTTCGGAGAGTTTTCACTTAGACGCTGATGTTGAGTTATCTAGGGAAAGTTATGTCAACAGAAGTTTCTGCAATAAAGAAAAGGACTCTTCGTTGGACAAAGAAAAGGCATGGCCCCAAGGTGACAACAATTACTTTTGCTTATTACCCTGTACGCTTTTTTGGTCCTCTTATTCATTTGGTTTTAGGCAACACTCAAGATTAAAAAGAAGAATGATAACGATAATGATAATGATAACCGATGAAAATAATTTCTTCCTAGGCCTTTAAGGTGACTCGACCCAGTTTTTTTTGGGGGGTACCATCCTACTTTGAAGCTCTCTGGTATCTCCACCTTTACTTTTATCGTAAGTGTAACACATAGAATGGATAACATATAGATCAATCTACAATATAACATAAAATTTTTGGCGATCGGAGTAAATGTCACGTGGTTATAATGCCACGCCCCTTTGAGGTCTGAGTCGAAAATCTGCTGTTACAGTCAGCCAAGCGCGGTCATTGCACGCGTGCTGAACAAGAATGCTGTATAATGACAGACTAGAAACAATAGACAACTCCCAAAGCACAAACTCAGCCAAAACGCTAAAAATCTTCAATGTTTACTCAAGTTTGGGCTTATAGAAGATAATGTCACAGTTTTTCAATGACCATGAAATTCAGAGTCCGGGTAGTTAGTTAATCAATTGTGGCCCTGAAAAAATTTGAAGGAAAAAAAACTACGAATTTTTAAGAAAATGCTTTTTTCGTGAGAAGGACTCTTAAACGCTGACAAACGTCAACAAATAGCGAAAACTATAATTTCTATATGTTTGCTTTGCTCGAAATCGCGCGCATTTACAAGGCCCTAAAGCGTTTTGCTGACTTGCAAGGACCCATCTGTTATAACGATGCCCAAAATAAAGAGATGAATCTCATAGTTTATTAGATATAATCCGTGTAAAGTTTGCTTATCATTTTCGCATAAATTATGACCTAAATTTGGAAACCGCTGAATTTCTCGAATTGGGTCTTTGCGATTTTGGTGAAACTCTGTTCAGCGCAAGGCACTAATGCGCACTATATGTAGCCGAGAGATTTTCACGAAAAAATGCCTGCAACAGCAGATTTTCGACTCAGACCTCAAAGGGGCGTGGCATTATAACCACGTGACATTTACTCCGATCGCCAAAAATTTTATGTTATATTGTAGATTGATCTATATGTTATCCATTCTATGTGTTACACTTACGATAAACGTAAAGGTGGGGTTACCAGAGAGCTTCAAAGTAGGATGGTACCCCCCCAAAAAAACTGGGTCGAGTCACCTTAAGCCGGGAAGGGCTAAGTGAAAAGAAATCGGATTAGATTTATACCCCACCAAAGTCGCAGTTTGTTTTTTTTTGTTTTTTTTTCTTATGTTGTCTTTTGGAGGGATTTATAGAAAGGGTGGTGGTGAGGGGAAGGGGATTGGGGCTACTTATTTTAAAAACGATGCTCAACAGTGAGAGTTGTCGTCAGAGAAGGAGAGCGTACCGTGTTCGGTATCATTCATTCAAAACATTTTCCCGTCTCTGATTGGCTCAAGCCCCCGACTAATTCTTAGTAACCAGATTTGGAAGATGAAGACAATATACATACCATCGTTACTACGGTAAATTACCCCCAATATAAACCTCAACCTCGTTTCCAGGCGGTGGTGCGGCAGCCAAGCTGTTTTGGCATGAGTGAACTCAAAAAATGACAGAAAGTTCACGGCTATCATAAGACCAAACTATTGAATTACGGACAAAACTGAAAAGAATGGAACAACCCAAGAACGTTAAAAGAAGTTGCTCGATGACCTCGATGGACAATATCTACTTTTTAAAGAGTATCTGTAAGAAAAACATACAGTTTATAGAGTCAAATCCAGCTTTACAGACACCCACTTAATCCAGGCATCTCAAGAAAACGGACAGTTTGCTTGTCCCTGTGCAAAGAAAGCCCTAACCTTTTCTCTAAATTGAACCCACTTTATACGGATACCCCGTTAATACGGACACTTCTACGGCCCCCTCACTGTCAGTGTCCTTGTTAGCGGGGTTTGACTGCATATGAACTGTGCCGAGAGACCGATCAAATGTTTGAAAAGTGTCGACTAGGAGGTATTGGTGTTTAGAAAATTTCGAATGAGTAATAAACTGAACTATTCAGATCTGGGAGGCTGTTATCTACTAAGGCCTTCGGCCTCGGTGAATAACATTCTTCTAGTTCTCCTGGCTGTGTAATTCTTCACATAATACTCAGCCTCATTGAATAATCGATAAATATCGTCACCATCACTTGGTTATCATTAGGGAGTTTCAGTCAAGCAGCGACGTTTTTGACTGCGATCGACGCACATCAACCGGACGTGAACCTTTTACTCTTTTAATATGCCTTGACGTTACCAAATTTGTATTGTTATGTGTCTTTATTCTTAAAGAGACGATTTTTACAAGAATTTGTTAAAAAAAACACGCCTGAAAAGTAAAAAAGGTCCACTTCCGACTGATGCGCGTCGCTCAAAAGCGTCATTGGTTAAACTCCCTATCGACTGCTTCTAGTTTCCTATCATTCAATCAAGAACATTGCATGTTGATGCTAATTTCAGGGAAGTATTGCGTCTACAAGAAAGGCGTTTGTCCATTGGGACTCAGCGAAGGGTTTCTACATTGGGACGATGAAGATAGAAATAACGTTAACAAAGACGGTGGATCACTTCCTGAAGGCGTATACGGTTCGGACACCAGGATTTTCCTCTGCTGTAGAACGGATGGTGATAAGTCAGATCCAGTGTCCCTTCCTCTCAGTAAGCCCTTTTACCTGCTAGCGTATGGTTCGTCTGACTGTCAACTCGTTAAAGGAGCCATTACTACTACAGAGTACATAATCTTTCATAACGAAGACAAAAATAACCAAGACTCATCAGGCGGAGTACATCCGTATGCAAATTCTAGTTTGATCTACTACTGTTATTATCAAGGTAAGCTTGTTTTCTTTACAATGATTATGGTGCTGTTTGCTATGCTTTTCAGTCATCAGACCAAACGGAAAAGTTCGAAACGCGCACTCTGATTTGCTAGCTAGGAAGCGACTGCAGTTAATTTGCTATTCATCTCAGATGCGAGAACATCCTTGAACCCAGTGGCAGCTAGTCTGGATCGTGGTATTTTGGATTCATTATGAACAAAATCCCTCATGAGAAAAATTGCAGGAGAAGTCGTTGGAAGAGGAGGTTGACCTCGATAGACCCTTAGGGTTGATCCATACTCGCGGGTTAACCACTGTCCCATGGATAAGTATTAGGGAAACCAAGTGTGTTATCCACTGGATAGAAATTTTCCCAGTGGATAGCGCTATCGACCTTGAACAAATAGGGCCTGGTCTATAAACTAGGACTGGCTAATGTGTGATTGAAGAAAAGTTAAACAAAGACTTGGATGAGGTTCAAAAGTGGCTGAAATCCAATAAACTCACATTAAATGTCAAAAAGACAAAATATATGATAATTGGAAGCCACTACCGACTTGATGTTACACAACCTCTTCCCCAGGGTCCACGCGGGACGATTCGTCACATCGGTATTTGGCGCAACACAGCAATGCAATGTTGGAACAATGTTGCAAACCTTGCGAAACAGTGTCGTAAGGATGTTGAAACGCTGTGTTGCGCTCAAAACTCGTCGTTGCGAATCGTCCGAAAGGTGATCTTACATGGATCCCATAAGGTTAAGAAACTGACATATTTTTGTCTGTAGTTGACAATAATTTTTATTTTTTAAAGACCGTTAACAGTAAAATAACTGATGGTTTGATAACTGACCAGTCTTACTCGGAGCCACCGGAAAAAAGACCTGGAGAAGCTACCCTCCACCCCCTCAGAAATTGCGTTCCGATGGACCCTCCTCCCCTCGGAATTTCCGTTGCCCTCTGTGGGGGGTATGGGTATTTTCTGGAACTAGACATAATAAGAAAACGAGTGACCCAATCAGATGTAATTTGTTATTACTCCGGTTTTATTTCATTCTTTCGAAGGGAATGCATTGCCCCATCACAGTCTGACTATTTTAAACAGAATAAGGTCTTAACAACTGTGTGGCCTTGATTCTCAGGTAACGTTCAGTGTAGAGGCACCGATGAAAGTCTCTAGGGAGGGTGTGGATGCCGCTAACTGGCAAATGACAAATGGCCAAAATTTTAACTGATAACTGACAAAGGACCTAGCAGTCCTTTATTTTCTACAAAACCCGTTTTTAAGGTTTCAGCATTGTTTTAGCATTGTTCGGCCACTCTTTTCGTCAGACAATGTGATCAAATGTGCGTTTATATGGGTCATCATAGCAGCAGGACGCTTAAACTAGTGTCATATTTCAAAGCAAAATTGATAAAAAGTAAGGTACTATCGCATAAGTTTTCGAATTTCAGTCATGTTTAATTCACATTATATGTGCCTTTTTAGTTAAATTTTGGACTAAAAATGAACAAATAAGTTTCATAGTTAATTACTAATAATCAAATAGCCAAAATTTTAACTGAAAACTGACATCTGTACTACGTCCCCCCGCCCCCAACCACCCCCCTCATCCAGACCCCCCTCACTATATTTGGACGCTATTCCATGTAAAGTTTTTGGATCCTGATGAAATTTGCTCTTAAAACGTGGATGAGCATACAGCGGTTCCACAACCTACAGATACACAGAAAATGTTCTAATAGCGTCCTTCCCTTAAATAAACGCCTCTTTTCTAATTAGCCCTCCCTCCACGCTATTAAGTTGGACCCTGGGGTGATTACTAGGCGGCTCCGCATAACATTTGCTCCAAATACTAGTAAATTGCGAAACGGCAAAGTCATTTTATTTATTCCGTTTCTTGCTTGATTAAGAAGCGTTTGCGCATAGCATATTGTTCAATGTCAAGTTCAAAGTAAGGATTCGGACATCGAAGTTTAGTTTTAAAAACGACATATATCTAAAAATGGTCTAGACTTATCAATCGAAAAAATTAAAAATTTTACAACGCTTTATTTAGAAGCCTATACACTCTGTGCAAAATGCAATTTAATACGTTCTTTTTACAGGAGCCGCCAAGATCAAAGTCTAAGAGAAGTCAGGACCATAAAGCGAATTGTTTAGCAGGAATATCAGCCGTCCCCTGTAGTCGCACTCTACCGAAAGTCTCTCTCGGGAGTGTGCGAATGGGGGAGACAGCTAAAATTCAGGCTGCGAATTGTCCGGATAGCTTTTCGTGCCTACACAAAAAGCTTACCAATGGCCGAATTTATACTAGAGATGAATTATCCGCCGTATCAGACGGATAATCCGTCTCTAGTATAAATTCGGTGATAAGACGAATTATGGAGCAAAATTTGTCCGAGGCTGATTCGTCTGTTAGCACGTCTAGAAGACGTACTAACAGACGGATAATTTGTCTTAGACAGATTATCCGTCTCTATATTTATATCTAGACGGAACGTAAACGATTTTTTACGAAGTTTCTACATGAGAGGGACTGGTTTCTATATTTTCGCAATGTTTCCTGTTTCTCGCGGTCGTTTCAAGCTTAAAATATCTAGTCAAATTATGGAGCAAAGTTCGTCTTCGGACTTATACTTAGACGAATTATCCGTCTGACGGATAATCCGTCTAGACGGATAACTCGTCCCTAGTATAAATTCGGCCAGTTAGTGTGAACACATATCCAATATGTGATTCATCACTTGAGAGCCAGTCTCCGTTACAGAAATCGCGCCGATAACACCCTTCTCATGTGTGAACAGAAGGCCCTGTTCGGTATGGTACCGATGCAGCCTCCTCCTCAGGCGCTTCGTTTTTCGCAAGGTAGAGGCGAGCGACTGGTGATGAGCTGCAAGGGACCATGGGAAGGGTACAGACGGCAGGCGAAGCCCGTTGTCTCCTTTCCGCATTCCTTTGCGCGCGCGAAATAGACGTCTGGGTACGAGGCAGGTACCGATGCAAAGTCAATACGGTACAGTGTCAACGTAGCCGAAGTTTTCTATGCGAAAAATTAATCCCAGATTTCATCACATCAGAAATGACAGTGGTAATCATTCTTTGAAATAAACTGACGGCGGGAAACTTTGGGTTTGGTCTTGAAAACCCTCAAAAGTCCCAAAAGTAATAATTGGATAAACCCTGTCAGGACAAACGAGCAAAGCAAAGATAGTCTGTTGACACAAATGTCATTTGACGATCTTAAAGACGTCATGGCTAGTACTTTTTCACTGGTTAAAATCTTTAAAACCATAAATATTTTATGACAAGACAGAATCGAGTTGCTTGTCAGTGTTTGATCTGTTTCCCATATTAGGTCTCCACTAACATTTCACGAACGAATAAATACCCAAAGAGTCATGCTTCAGTTGGTTTCCAGGTAAGAGGAATGCTGATTTTCCTGTAGTTGCGTAATGATAAAGAAAAACTTCTTAAAAGTTCTTAACTATCACTCTCTGCTATATAGTCCCGCTAGTCTTATTGCTGTTATTATTGTTGTTGTTTTGTTTTGCTTTTTTTTCGGCTGTAACACGCCGGTTTTGGCCTCACTTGGCATTCATTCAAAGACCAGTTTTTTTGATAATCCTTGAGTATTTTTAATTAGTAGTTTTTAGGAAGGTATCTTACGTCCCCTTAGTTCCGAATTCAGATTCAGATTTCGGCATTCATCACTGGCATCTGAAGCTTCTTTTGAGAGTGACACAGGTTATTGAAATCAAATCAAATCAAATCTATGTTTGTTCGGCTTCAAAATCTCTGAGTAAATCTACTTGATGAAAACGAGGTCCTATCGGCGTGTGTCGTGAAAATTGTTTGAATTATAGAGCTTGTTACTTCATTCCTTATTTTTCTTAACGAAAAAGTTACAACTAAGTTGTATTAGGGCTCACAATGTACGATAATTCCGCCGAAAAAGGCGACATTTGAAGACGTACTAACCTGAGATCAGGCCCAATTTTAGCGGTTCTCATACATTCTCTCTAACGGCCAGCGCCGGAATTTTATTTACAAAGCGAAACGAAAATTGAGCCTGATCTCAGGTTAAAGACGTACCGTTTCAGTAACATATGAAAGTTGACTTTTATTACGAAGTCATCAAGTTCAATGGAATCACTAAAACTACTCCGGAAAGGCTCAATTGAATCGTATAGCCTCTTGAATTAAAATATGAGCGGAAAAATAAAAAATGTGGACAGTTAAGGTGGCTCCGTAATTAATACAAGAGCATTTAGCTGTGACAAATTTTCCGTCATAACTTTTTGGTTTTTAACGCGACGGCTGCGAAACTTTGCAAAGAACAACAGATATCATTCGGCAATAATACGAAATATTCCGATTTCATTGATGGTAAATATTTCTTGAGAAATTAGCGCTTAAAAGGACCCTACTTTCAAAGAAAATCGCGTCTAGTAAAAAATTTTGCTGATATTTTTTACTGAAATTTCTGGTATCGGCTTTAATTGATATAATAAATATGCCAGAGGAATTTCAGAAAAATCGTTGGAGCAGAAGTCCGTAACTAAAAGTCGCTCAAAATTCTCACCCCATGTAAGGGAATCCAGGACAGTCTTGGATTCTGGATTCCATGCTGTGGATTCCGGATTCCAGGTAATGGATTCCGGATTCCAGCACAGTGGATTCTGGATTCCAAAAAGAGTTGGATTCCATTTTTTTTCCGGTTTTAATGCTTTTCTTCGCACTTCGTTTTCTTGTTCGAATCTTGCTATATTGAAAGACGTTGTTAGAGGGCATAACAAGTTTGTTTTCTTTATCGATTTACAAAATTACGGGAAGAAATGTATTACAGTTCCGTAAGGGTTTATGGTATAATAATGAGGGAGACATTGAGGGACTCTTTACACCGAAACACCGCAGAAAAAAATAACAAGCACCGCATCATCGCAAAAAAACGTAGCGAAACACCGACGTCGCAATTTAAAGTTTTGTCCTACGATTAATCTAATCCAAAT